TATCCCAAAATAGGTGTTTTGCACAGACGGTCCTTGAGCTCCTGGAATGCGATATTACAACTTTCATCCCAGCAGAAATGTCGCTTCTCCTCGGTAAGCTTATGCAGAGGTTTGGCTATATCCGCAAAGTTCTTCACAAATCGCCGGTAATAGGAGCACAAACCCAAAAATGCTCTAACCTGCGTCTTGTCTTTTGGAACCGGCCAATCCTTGACAGCGGCGATTTTCTCTGGATCTGTGCGGATACCTTCTTCCGATACTACAAACCCCAAAAAGTTAATTTGCCGTTGGAATAGTGAACATTTCTTCGGGCTCAACTTGAGGTTGGCACTCTGAATCTTCATGAGCACGCGTTCCAGGTTTTGAAGGTGTTCCTCAAACGTACGGCCTACGATGATGGTGTCATCCAGGTAGACCAGACAGGCATCGCCAATTAGCCCGGTAAGTACAAGTTCCATCAGCCTTTCAAACGTTGCTGGAGCATTGCACAACCCAAACGGCATTACTTTAAATTGCCACAGACCCTTTCCCGTCGAGAACGCAGTTTTCTCCTTGTCCTTAGGGTCAATTTCAACTTGCCAGTAGCCACTTTTTTAGATCCAGCGTGCTAAACCACTTTACTCCTGTAAGCATGTCCAGCGTGTCATCAATTCTTGGCAAGGGATAGCTGTCCTTCTTCGTAACGTCGTTCAGACGGCGGTAGTCAACACAAAATCGCATGCTGCCATCCTTCTTCTTCACCAGCACCACTGGTGAACACCATGGACTAGAGGAAGGTTCAATAACACCATCCTTCACCATTCCTTCAATCATGGTTTCCACTTCCTTTTCGCGTGCTACCGGCAATCTTCTTGGCCGCGGACGGATAGGCAATTCATCTCCTGTATTTATTTTGTGTTGAACTAAGCCAGTCTTTCCTATGTCAGCAGCGTTTGATGAGAATACATCGGCGTACTTGAGTAACAACTTCTTCGCCTTGACCAATTCGTTCGGGGAGAGAACACTGCGACAGTCTTCCAAAAGTGTGGTCACTCTCGTTTCTGCATCCTTGCTGGGGGTCCCACTCGATATATATTGGCACCGACGTAACCAATCCACTTCCTCACAAGTACCAATCAGTGTGCCTTTTTCTATAATCTGTTCCCGGTCGCAAAGGTTCAGCACACGTACTCCCGAGATGTTAGTGGACCTGACCAAGGTTCGAGCTACTTTCCATGGAAGGTCATTGTTTACCCTTTCCACAAGTACACAACGGTGAGCTTGCCCAGCGTTTCGAGGAAGACTAACCGGAACAATCGTTTCCGATCTCGGCGGAAGAACAATCTTCTTAAAGCTGTACACGTTCCCTGGTAACGTACCTTCCATAAAAAGTTCCTCCTGTCCACATTTCAAAACACCTTGCTTAACGTCGATCTCACAACAATTATTCCTCATAAAGTCTAGGCCTAGGATGCAGTCGTCCATTATATCAGCCACGATGACATTATGCAGATAGATCACGTTGCCTAGCTTCAACTCCATCTCCTTCTCTCCACGGACGAGTATACGCTGACCGGTGGCTGTTACCAAATTAATGCGTTCTCGGTTGTATGCGGAGTCCCCAAGGAACTCACTTATAAGTTGGGAACTAACAACCGTACGAGAGGCTCCAGTGTCTATGGTCAGCTTACACGGCATTCCGTTGATCTCGCCCTTTATGATTAGGCTGTTCCCATCATGGGTTTGTGAGATCGAGATCCTTGGGGCTCTTTTAACATCAGCCAGCACCCGCCCCGCAGTTCTGGCTTTTACTCGTTTCCCTGCCGCTGCTGGGCGGTGCTGTTGGCCGCACTACCCTCCTGAGATCGTTCAATTTCCCTTTCTAGGGTTCGCTTAGGGCAGCTGGATCGAAGATGGCCCTTTTCCCCACAGCCATAGCACCTTGGGCTGTATCCTTTGTTGCGGTCGCGAACTGTTGAGCTGCTGCAACCTCCCTGACGCGATGGGAACGATGATCCTGCCGCACGGCTTCCACTTCCAGTGCATGGGCCAAGGCGTCCTTAAGCGTCTCGTGGTGCCCGAGCCTCACAGCAGCTCTGACTTCCAGGTCGCGGATGCCGTCGATGAATGTCTGCACCAGGTTCTCTTCAATGAGCGCAGGTACAGACCGGTATGCTTTTCGCACCAGCTTCTCCACTTCTAGAGCCCACTGCTGCAGGTTTTCGTTGATGCGCTGCACACGATCTTTAAGCTGCGCACGAAAGACGTGTTCCAGGTGAGCGTCGCCATATCTCGCCTCCAATGCCTCAAGGAGTTGCTCATAAGTCACTTCCTCACCGAGAGCTTCCAGAATTGTTAAGGCCTGGTCGCGCAGGCCTAGTGTGAGAGCAGTCATGGCCTGACTTTTATTCCAGCCGTTCGCCTTCATAACAGCCTCGAACTGGATTTTGTAGGCTGACCAGGAAGAAGTCCCGTCGAATGGTGGCACCTTGAACCCACGTAGCGAAGGTGTAGTAGCTACTACGGGAGCTGAAGTTCCCTCCCCAAGTTTGAGTTCGTCAAGTGATTTCCTCATGTCAGCCATTACGTTGTCAACCCGATTGTTCACTTGGTCAATTCGGGTTTCAGCTTCCGACAGGCGGTTTTCATGTTGAGCAACCTTATCTTTCACCTCCCTTATCTCTTTCCCTAAGGTAGCGTGAAGGTCCTTCATGAGAAGCATCTGTTCCTCCTGTCGGCGGGCCTGTTCCTCTTGTCCGCTCTGCAGCTGCTCTTTCAACTGACGGACCTGTTCCGCCTGCTGACGAACCTGTTCATCCTGTCCAATCCGCAGCTGCTCCTCCAACCGACGGACCTGTTCCTCCTGTCGGCGAGCCTGTTCCGCCTGCTGATCTGCTAACCGACGGGCCTGTTCATCCTGTCCGCTCTGCAGCTGCTGCAGCATCACCATCAGAGCACCTAAGTCAGGTGCTGCAGATGTAGGAGCTACCGACGGGCCTGCAGCCGGTGGCTGGCCCTCCGACGTCTGCGGCGTTGCACCACCAAATCTTCGTTGGTCCGTCTCCTGCTGGCGTTGACTTCGGGTACGGACACCCTCCGTTTCCTCCTTAGGTAAAATCGGCATGATTTTATCCCACTTCTGACACCAGTTGTTACGAGCTTGAGGTTCGTGACAATAAAAATTGCCGATAAAATTACCTAAATTAACACTTTAATTTACTTTACACAAATTAAAACTAAAAACACTAATAATTAAACACACTAATTCACTTAATTCCGCTCCGAAGCTTCGCTTGTGTCGCCGAATCAACACTGCTCCGATCGCATCTTGCAGCGCCTATATATTTAAATTAGCAAAGAAATATCCAGAATGTTCAAGTAAACACGCGCAAGGTACCGAGCGTTCGAGTTTCGACTAGGCGCTATCGGTTGAGTGATTTGTGATGTCAATTACTGCAAAGCTCCCCTCGCTCTCGTTCCTGACACTAGATGGCGCTAGTTGACTTATTCATGCAACAATACTATAGTACATATATTATAGAACAGGGGAGTAAGCGGAGCCCGTGTAATTGTCAAGACGAGATTTGTTTTGACGTTACAATCGTTTCCAAATTTCGCATGCAAATTATTTAGAAAAAGCCAAATTGCACACCATTAACAAATCAATATGTATTAAAATTTAAACGATTTTTTTAATGATGATGTTGAAAATTAATCGAAAGTCTAAAATGTGTAAATTTACTCAGTCTCTCAACACAGCGAATCGTGTTTGTAGTAGTAATAATACGACGTATTTGCATATGTGCTCCCGGCGACGCCGATTCTCATACAATATAAGATTGACAGTCATTCTATTGTGTATTATAGTATTCTATGGCCTCTACATAGATAGTCTTGTGTGATAACTGCATTTTTGAAAATGTCGTCTTCTTTTATACAAATGTTGTGATATGGTAAATATCTATTTTAAACTTATAGACCAATCGATAAATAGTTGCAATTATGTCATCCATTCTCTCAATTAATTGAGCATCTAAAATGGTAACTGCATTTATTTTTCTGAGTAATCTACTACTGGTCTGTATGGTGTAGTTTCATGAAATTTTTGTAACACTAAAAACTTTGGTGCTGCATAGGGTAGGGAGTTTGATAATCTACAATTTTTTCCAATCATTTTCTATCTTTCGTATTAGAAATAAACACTCTGGTTTTGGTAATCTATATGGTTTACAGTTAATAGGTATACTGTGTTTTAGTTTTATTTAAAGTTCAAAGTCTGAGAATTTTCTTATATCATTTGAGTACTTTTAAAAATATCAATATGTTTAGAAACTAACTGCATTACACTATGACTGTAGTTCTGTGTAATTTCTAAACTTAGTTTTTATTTGTTTTCATACAACAAGCTATCAAATTATATTTTTAGATATGTTCGGAAAATATTCGGTATGTGCGGGAGTAATATTACATACCTTCCTATGAGGTTCATGAATAATACGTGTATAAACAGCAGGTTGCCAATAATCATTGGTACAGGTACTCGTAAATTCTCAGAGACAGCTATTTGAGGCATAAAATAATCTATTTTTCCTACCTTGACTCTCTCAGACAGCCATCCAGTAGTGATAAGTGTATTACCTACTACTCTTTAATTTCTTTTCTGCCATGGACTGACTTGAGTATCCTCTGGTAAACACGTTTTATCTATTAATGTAATGACAGACCCTGAATTCGGAAATACTTGAAGTTGTATTGTGCTGTTAAGTATAACTGGTATTAACGTCAAAAAAAAAAGTAAAAATTTTACATTTTTAGTTTGACTAATTAACTATTGTGCTTTATTGTATTCATATTTTTAGTTGTAATGTTTTGTTTATGTACTTGTGGTGGTACATTGCATTTATATGAAATATAACCCTTTGTTCTACAACAAAAACATACTTCATTCTCCTTCTTGTGTTCCTATCGATTTTATTTAGGTATAACCTAATTGTATTTGTGTTTTACTCAGTTATATGTACTTACAGAAGTTTTATTATATTTTGGTAATACCTTTCCTTTGATTGGGTGCGTCTAATATTTTCTAATGCAAACGCATTTTCTAATTGCTCTTCCATATGTATACAGTAGTGGGTAGCCAATGGGACTGACGAGCGATGATCAATGAAGCCTTCCAAGATAAGTGATAGTTTGTATGCATCTATAATACATCATTTCAATTCTGCTAATTTCAATTTTTTGGCTAACTCATTGTGCCAATCGCTTGCTGGACGCCTTAACCTCATTTTTTTGACTTAAGTTAATTTTTCCGGCCAATTTGCGGACGATAACACTCTTTCTACCTGCTTTACCTCATTTTTGCATTGACTTAAGTTAATTTTTCCGGCCAATTTGCCGACGATAATACTCTTTCTACCTGATTTACCTAATCGACTGCATTTTCAGTTTTATTTATATTTTTTATTTTTATTTATTATCTTCCAAATAAATGAATGGCTTGACTTGTGTCAGCTGTCGAAAATACTTGTATGAAATTGTGTTTGGTCTGTGCCAATTGTTTTATTAAATCTGATTGATTTCGCAAAATTTGTGACAATGTAACGTTTAAGTTTGAGGACATACCTGATTAATCCTTTACCTATTTTTCCTTTTGTAACTGTCCAATTTTAAGGTTTTAACTCTAATTGTTTAGATTGTCTTATATATTTTTCGGATTTAAATTGTTCCAAAATTCCATTTTTCAATTTAATAATACTTTTGTAGATGATTCTTGTAATTCGCTTTTTACACTAGAACTTGGTAAAAACGTAACATCGTCCTACAATTGTTGGACTCTAAACCTTTCTAAATCATCTGACTTTGTTGATTCCATTGTTATTTTTGTTATTAACTTTCAATAGTTATGAGCTTATTCAAATTAAAGTTAATTTCAATTGTATTTTCAAATACTTTATATCTGCCTCGTGACGAGGTTGGTCACTGGCGAGTTGGCGTCAATGTATACCCGTATCTAGCTTAATCGAAGTAAACGAGCCATCTATAAAAATTATAGTAGTTAATTTATTATTAAAGTAAAATAAAAATTATGTGATATTAAAAAAAACGTTTATTAGCAATATAAAAACAACTTAAAATCGAATAACGTAATTTTTAAATTTTACGAGAATATTAATAAGTTTTAAAACTGTTGGAATTGCAAAAGTGAAAAAATTATATGCCAATGATCCTCGCCGAAAACAAAGAAATTGTTATTAGCTTTTTAATTTAATTCACCATGTTGTAGGTACTCGGCGGTTAAGAAAAAAAATATAAGTAAACCTACTTATTTAAAATTTAATAAATAATAATTTGCATAACACCATCTATCGATGACATTTGTTGACTATTGTACTTTTGTACTAAGATTTTAAATTTTCACTAAGAGCTTAGATATTTTTTATAAATATTTATTACATTATTCTTTATTATTTTTGTTAGTGCCTTTAAATACAATTATATCATTATAGAATATTATTTTATATTATTTATTTAACAAAAACGCCCTTGATCACTCAACGCCACCATTGAACAATTTCGTAGCTATAATTCTTAACCATACTTCAGATTATTAATCATAATTTTTGTTACAATGAACCAGTTTTAATAAAACAAAGACTAAATGTAAAACGAAGATACGTTTCACAACTTTTCTAACGATAATTTTTATATAAATAAGTACTTTATACATGATACGTTAACAAATAATCAGACAGACAGACATGCCATTTTAAAAATGATAGATGCTCTTTCTATAACTGACTTGAAATGTCTTACACGCACGGCTAGCGTTAAAACAAAACAATTATCAGTTATTAGACTCCTAGAGACCTCAACTTCGAATACAAGTTGTATTCGAAGTTGAGGTCACAAAGGTATATGTTCGTGAGTCCTTGACGCCCACTATGGCTTTTCTGATGTAGAAGAAAAATTATCTAAAAGAGTAAGGGCTATATAAGTAGATCGGATCTTTATTGATTAGGAAGAACGAAAATTATTAAAAGACCCACACGGTACGTAACATAAGCGACATTTATCGGCTAACTTTGAAGTAAGCGACCTGTGCAATAATTATTTTTGTTGACTTCTACCTATACCTCTCCTTTCTGTGAGGTAAGGCCACTTTATTTATTGATCAAGTTCCCATCTTCTTACGGGAAAAATATCAAAATATCAATCAAAGGAACACTACCATATGAATATTAGATTAATGATAAAATAAAATGCCTGCCTAATAACCTAATCGTCGTCGTTTTGTCATATACATTAAGGATATGACAAAACCATACTTTCAACTATAAGATTATATTATGCACTCGGTGTTAAGAAGAAACACTAAAGGTGGCCGTATGTTGTTAGAAAGACACATGTCCTTAGAAGTGTTTCTTTTAAGTGATTATCGGTTTCTACGTTTAATTTCAAATGTTTGTTGAGTGAAGTAGAAACAACGTGTAATGAATATAAATTCGTATTATGTGCAGTATATCATCCCCGAGCTCTAATAATTATAGTTTCATCACAGAACTATCCGATAGGATATCAAAATATGTTTTGCGAAACTATGTCATTATATGGGGGGGGAGGGGTTATGAATATAAACATTAAAAACATTACCCTAGTTGTAACGCCCTACCTACATATCCTAAATGAGTTTGGTTTTGAAAGTTGTATTTATAATTTTATTCGATTTGAAAAACTACGTATAAGTACCTCTAAAACATGTAAAGATCATATATTTGTTCGGGATACAATAAATGTAGAAATAATCTAAATAAATACATAAGCAAACTAAAAGAAAAATCGCACTAAACTAGAAAAACGTAATAATTTGGAAAACCTCAAATAGTTTGGTGTTTAATAAACCATCTGTGCGTGAAGGTCGCAAATACTACAGATGATATAATTATGATGTATTTTGAATTAAAAACTAAACAACTAGCAGATAAGTCTGCTAATGAATGTCAGGAAAATGTATATAATGTGATCCACACCACTATGTGATGCCGTTGCTTGACGAAAATACATACATTAATAACCCTAGTGTTACCATGAAATTACATAAGGTAAAGGAAGAGATTGTTTATAAAATTATGAATAACATTAACGCGAAAAACGTGGTCACGGATATGACTACATTCAAGCAAAGAATATTAAATAGCTAGCTAAAGATCTGTCACCGGTAATTACCTATTTAAGAAACATTTGTATAAGCACCAAACATATATCCAGATAAGTTAAAAATTGACTCAGGCCCATATATTAAAAGAGGTGTTATACTGATACAAATAATTACGAACGAATTACAATTCTATCGTGTGTAGATGAAATAATAGAAAAATATCTAGGTTCAGAAACGATTTTTTTTGTGACGGTTTCATACATGAGGTTCAATATGAATTCCAAAAAAATAAATTACTCTTCAACTGTCCTCAAGTTTTTGAAATAAATTCAATGGCTATTTAAATGAAAAAAAAAATAGTTGACTCTGCAGGCCATACCTAGAACATCCCGGTAATTTCAAATTCAAATCGCTCCAAATTTCATCCGTTATGAAGTTTTTGTGCTATACTTCACGAAAAAATCAACCGATATTGATGAACTTGACGGCATTCAATGCATTGAATAAAACTAAATTTACGGATTCTATCGCGTTTATTTAACTATAATGTCAAATAAAGTTTATTATTATTATATTAAATATTTATTATATTATTATATTATTAATAAAGTTTATTATTATAATGGGGTATCTATATAGTTTTCTCATCTGGTTGGGATGTATAAATATATAATAGGTATCTTATATTATTATTATTATTATGGGGTATCTATATAGTTTTCTCATCTGGTTGGGTTCTATAAATATATAATTATAAATGAAAATGAAAAAATAAATATACATAAATATCAATAACATAAAATAAATATAAAAGTACATAAATAAATAAAAGCCCAACCAGATGGAGGCCCTCGGCAGGGGAGACCAAACGGCCGAGGGTTAGGGGGGAAAGGGAAAGAAACCGGCGGACGATGCGGGCGGTATCGAGGAGCACCGCCTTCTGCATTTGAACCTGGAGCGGTCCGCCACGTAGTCCCAGCCGCCTCAGATGACCCGAGAGGCTGACTGGGATTAGCCCGTTTGCAGAGACGACTACAGGAATAATTTCGGTCGGCAGACCACCCCACATGTCGCTCACCTCGTGAGCCAGGTCCAGATATTTTGTTTGCTTGTCTGTTTCGGCTTTCACGAGGTTCTCGTCATACGGAATGGTAATGTCGACCAAAAATATCCTTGACTGTGCCCGGTCCATCAGCACAATATCAGGCTTATTCGCAAGAATAGTCCTGTCTGTGATGATGGCCCGGTCCCAATAGAGCCTGGCGCGATCATTTTCGAGCACGGCTTCCGGCAAGTACTTGTAGTACGGCAATTTCCGGTCCACGAGACCGTATTTCAGAGCGAGCTCCTGGTGTAGAATTCTGGCTACTAGGTTGTGCCTGTGCAAGTACTCAGAGTTAGAAAGCGCCGAACAACCGGAGATAACATGCCTAAGTGACTCACCGGGATGGCGACAAGCTCGACAGATGTCGACGGTGCCATCCTTTAGGATGTATCTCCGATAGTTGTTGGTCTTAATAACCTGATCCTGTATTGCACAGACAAAACCCTCGGTTTCCCCGAAGAGATCACCAAAGCGTAGCCAGTGGAGGGAGGCTACTGTGTCTACGAAAGGCTCATGTAGAGCCTTGTAGAACCTCCCGTGGAGCTCCTTCTCCTTCCATACGGTCTCTCGGTCGGAAATGCTCTGCACTGCCGGGTCTTGCCATTGCTCGTTGGCTAAGGACAGAGGGGTAAGTCCTTTATCACAAGAAATGACGTCCATATAGAATGGATCATCCGATCTCGCCAGGAAGTAATCACGGAGGCTGCACACTTCGCGATTATGCATGGTCAGCGCGCTCAAGAAGCCACGACCGCCATGCTTCCGCGACAAGTACAACCTCATTACCGACGATCTCGGATGATGCATCCTATGGGACGTCATGGTAGTGCGGACTTTTCTATCCAGGGCGTTAAGTTCAGTCTGAGTCCACCTGAGTATGCCAAAGGTATACATGAGGACAGGCATGACCCAGCCGTTATATGCGTGTGCCTTATTCACACCGGACAAAAGGCTGTTAAGCACTTTGGTCAAGCGTGCATAAAACACGTCGCAAACTGACTGTTTCATACCAGTCTCATCGATACCGATGTTTTGTGACATACCCAGGTATCGGTATGTTTCAGCCTCGGAAAGGGTCCTTAAGTTGACGGGCATAGATAAGTCTACGCCCTGAGAGTTAGCAACCCTTCCCCTTTCAACAAGGAGGACCGCACACTTATCCGTCCCAAGCTCCATTCCAATGGAATTGCTAAATTCACAAGTGATGTTTAGCAATTCCATAAGATGGGAGCGACTGGAGGCGAATAACTTGAGGTCATCCATATAGAAAAGGTGGGTCACTTTTGTCCCTCCTCTCCGTAGCTGAAATCCCCTCCCGGAGCCCTCCAGTAAGGTACTGAGAGGGTTCAGAGAGAGGCAGAACCAGATTGGACTCAGACAATCGCCCTGGAAGATACCCCTTCTTATCCTTATGTGGTTCTCCGCAGCCATCATCCGCTCGCCCAGATGACAAAGGATCGTACTCCACTGCCCCATACACTGCTCAAGGAAGTCTCTAACTGTACAGTCTATCTTGTACAGCTCGAGGACTCTCTTTAGCCATGTATGGGGCACCGAGTCGAATGCCTTTCTGTAGTCTATCCAGGCGGCGGAGAAGTTCCGACGGTTGCGTTTCACCACTTTGCCAATGACCGCGTCAATGAGGAGTGGTTCCTTGGTTCCACGACCACCGCCCCGACATCCATTTTGAGCGCGCGACATCACCTGATTTGAGTCCAGGTGACAAGTGATTCTCGCGCTCAAAATGGATGTTAGTGTCTTGTATATGGTCGGTAGACACGTGATGGGGCGGTATTTGCTCGGGTCTGTGGTACCCTGGTCTTTAGGAACCAAATGAGTGATCCCAGTAGTGAAGAGGCTTGGGAGCGACTTCTGGTTGAGAGCCTCTTGAAACTGTCGGGCAAGCACAGAGTGACACACCATGAACCCCTTCAGCCAGTAGTGATGCAGCCCGTCAAGCCCCGGACTTTTCCAGTTCGGGGCCCTACGGACCGCCTCAGCTACGTCATCCGGCGTTATGATGACGGGGTCCATGGGCGTAATACCCGCACACTGACTCGTCACAACTTCCGTCCAAGGGCCCTCGCTGTGGTTTACGGGCTCTGACCACAGGCCGCGCCAGAATGCTACAGTGTCGGCCTGATTCGGTGCTGGACCCGTTCCACTTACCATTGGTCGCTCCAATGATTCATAGAGCCTCTTCTGATCACTCTGGAAGAGACGATTCTGGTTGAACCGTGTCGACCTCTCGGTATATCGCCGAATCCGTTTTCCCCAAGCAGCGATTCTCTGCTTCAGATCATCTATGCGCTCCGTCAGTTTTTGCGTTATATCCGGCTGGGACAAACTGACATTTGTCCCAGCAAACGCCATCCTGACGGTGCGCACAATTCTTGGCCTGTTGTTGCCTGATCTGAAGCATATCAGTCTGCCGATGAGAGCTCTAGCCTTTGCGATACGTTCCTCAATTCTTCTTCTCCATGCTGGGATAGCGCTACTATGGCCAGTAGCGCGTCCAGCCGTGGAAACCTTGGCGCCTATGATACGGCAGACTGCCAGCGCGGCGCCAAAAAGAATTGAGTCCGTCTCGCAAAGGTCCCGGCTGGCTTCCAAATAGGTCACCAGCATTGGGTTCAGAGCCCTCACGACAGCCCGATTCCGCTTGCTTAGGGCTATGCGGGGAAGTCGCGGTCGATTTTCGAGAGGCGTACTGCGCGTTTCCACAATCGCCTCTTCCAATGTACTCCTCATATGCTCTAATTCCAGTTCCTGGGCGACTGTTCCATCATCGTTTGAATCAACCACAACTGGGGTATTCACGGCGGCATCCACGTTTGCGGGTTGCTCTACCATTTGTGGCGCCGCATCCTCAGCCGTAGCATTCTCATCCGACGAGGGAACAGCCTCACGTCGTAGCCGTTCGAGTTCGGCGACATCAAATATATTTGAGCGCAAGATATACCGAACTCGGTCTGCCAGGTTTTGCTCTGTGACGGTTAAAGATGGCTCCAGCTCAGCAAAAAGACGATGCATCCTAGCCCGATACGCCAAACATCCAGTTTCTCCCCCTTTCGCCCCAAAATACGCCCGCAATGCGTTGCTGTTCATCTGGGTTGTCCAACGCATGCGGCGTACTCCACCAGAGGCGGGTGCCGATTGCTGGGCCCGCGAAGACCCTGCCGACACCAAGCCAGCTGGTGGGGATGATGGATGCGAGGGGCTGCTGGGTGGTCGTGCAGCACCTCGCGCTCGGCTGGCGGTTCGCATGCTGCCGCGTCCAGCGCCAGCTCCAGACGCGCCCTGGCGACCTCCAGGCAGCGGCCCTTTGCGCGTTCTTCCGTATTCCATCATCCATAGTGGTGGGCGTCATTTAGCGGGAGACGCCCAGACCCGGCGCCGTTTCATGGTGAGGCCATGTGCACAAGCGGGCCTTTGCACCTTCAATTTTTGCCGAGGCACGGCACTAACACCTCTTGGCAAGGTGCTGACTGACTGCGCTGACGTAGCGGTTTTGTCACATAACCGTTACGTCAGCGGGCGATGGGGTCGTCACTTCCCTACGCCTTAATTACGCCTTAATTATTATTATTATTTTGGGGTATCTATATAGTTTTCTCATCTGGTTGGGTGCTATAAATATATAATTATAAATGAAAATGAAAAGACAAATATACATAAATATCAATAACATAAAATAAATATAAAAGTACATAAATAAATAAAAGCCCAACCAGATGGAGGCCCTCGGCAGGGGAGACCAAACGGCCGAGGGTTAGGGGGAAAGGGAAAGAAACCGGCGGACGATGCGGGCGGTATCGAGGAGCACCGCCTTCTGCATTTGAACCTGGAGCGGTCCGCCACGTAGTCCCAGCCGCCTCAGATGACCCGAGAGGCTGACTGGGATTAGCCCGTTTGCAGAGACGACTACAGGAATAATTTCGGTCGGCAGACCACCCCACATGTCGGTTACCTCGTGAGCCAGGTCCAGATATTTTGTTTGCTTGTCTGTTTCGGCTTTCACGAGGTTCTCGTCATACGGAATGGTAATGTCGACCAAAAATATCCTTGACTGTGCCCGGTCCATCAGCACAATATCAGGCTTATTCGCAAGAATAGTCCTGTCTGTGATGATGGCCCGGTCCCAATAGAGCCTGGCGCGATCATTTTCGAGCACGGCTTCCGGCAAGTACTTGTAATACGGCAATTTCCGATCCACGAGACCGTATTTCAGAGCGAGCTCCTGGTGTAGAATTCTGGCTACTAGGTTGTGCCTGTGCAAGTACTCAGAGTTAGAAAGCGCCGAACAACCGGAGATAACATGCCTAAGTGACTCACCGGGATGGCGACAAGCTCGACAGATGTCGACGGTGCCATCCTTTAGGATGTATCTCCGATAGTTGTTGGTCTTAATAACCTGATCCTGTATTGCACAGACAAAACCCTCGGTTTCCCCCGAAGAGATCACCAAAGCGTAGCCAGTGGAGGGAGGCTACTGTGTCTACGAAAGGCTCATGTAGAGCCTTGTAGAACCTCCCGTGGAGCTCCTTCTCCTTCCATACGGTCTCCCGGTCGGAAATGCTCTGCACTGCCGGGTCTTGCCATTGCTCGTTGGCTAAGGATAGAGGGGTAAGTCCTTTATCACAAGAAATGACGTCCTTATAGAATGGATCATCCGATCTCGCCAGGAAGTAATCACGGAGGCTGCACACTTCGCGATTATGCATGGTGAGCGCGCTCAAGAAGCCACGACCACCATGCTTCCGCGGCAAGTACAGCCTCATTACCGACGATCTCGGATGATGCATCCTATGGGACGTCATTGTAGTGCGGACTTTTCTATCCAGGGCGTTAAGTTCAGTCTGAGTCCACCTGAGTATGCCAAAGGTATACATGAGGACAGGCATGACCCAGCCGTTATATGCGTGTGCCTTATTCACACCGGACAAAAGGCTGTTAAGCACTTTGGTCAAGCGTGCATAAAACACGTCGCAAACTGACTGTTTCATACCAGTCTCATCGATACCGATGTTTTGTGACATACCCAGGTATCGGTATGTTTCAGCCTCGGAAAGGGTCCTTAAGTTGACGGGCATAGATAAGTCTACGCCCTCAGAGTTAGCAACCCTTCCCCTTTCAACATGGAGGACCGCACACTTATCCGTCCCCAGCTCCATTCCAATGGAATTGCTAAATTCACAAGTGATGTTTAGCAATTCCATAAGATGGGAGCGACTGGAGGCGAATAACTTGAGGTCATCCATATAGAAAAGGTGGGTCACTTTTGTCCCTCCTTTCCGTAGCTGAAATCCCCTCCCGGAGCCCTCCAGTAAGGTACTGAGAGGGTTCAGAGAGAGGCAGAACCAGATTGGACTCAGACAATCGCCCTGGAAGATACCCCTTCTTATCCTTATGTGGTTCTCCGCAGCCATCATCCGCTCGCCTAGATGACAAAGGATCGTACTCCACTGCCCCATACACTGCTCGAGGAAGTCTCTAACTGTACAGTCTATCTTGTACAGCTCGAGGACTCTCTTTAGCCATGTATGGGGCACCGAGTCGAATGCCTTTCTGTAGTCTATCCAGGCGGCGGAGAAGTTCCGACGGTTGCGTTTCACCACTTTGCCAATGACCGCGTCAATGAGGAGTGGTTCCTTGGTTCCACGACCACCGCCCCGACATCCATTTTGAGCGCGCGACATCACCTGATTTGAGTCCAGGTGACAAGTGATTCTCGCGCTCAAAATGGATGTTAGTGTCTTGTATATGGTCGGTAGACACGTGATGGGGCGGTATTTGCTCGGGTCTGTGGTACCCTGGTCTTTAGGAACTAAATGAGTGATCCCAGTAGTGAAGAGGCTTGGGAGCGACTTCTGGTTGAGAGCCTCTTGAAACTGTCGGGCGAGCACAGAGTGACACACCATGAACCCCTTCAGCCAGTAGTGATGCAGCCCGTCAAGCCCCGGACTTTTCCAGTTCGGGGCCCTACGAACCGCCTCAGCTACGTCATCCGGCGTTATGATGACGGGGTCCATGGGCGTAATACCCGCACACTGACTCGCCACAACTTCCGTCCAAGGGCCCTCGCTGTGGTTTACGGGCTCTGACCACAGGCCGCGCCAGAATGCTACAGTGTCGGCCTGATTCGGTGCTGGACCCGTTCCACTTACCATTGGTCGCTCCAATGATTCATAGAGCCTCTTCTGATCACTCTGGAAGAGACGATTCTGGTTGAACCGTGTCGACCTCTCGGTATATCGCCGAATCCGCTTTCCCCAAGCAGCGATTCTCTGCTTCAGATCATCTATGCGCTCCGTCAGTTTTTGCGTTATATCCGGCTGGGACAAACTGACATTTGTCCCAGCAAACGCCATCCTGACGGTGCGCACAATTCTTGGCCTGTTGTTGCCTGATCTGAAGCATATCAGTCTGCCGATGAGAGCTCTAGCCTTTGCGATACGTTCCTCAATTCTTCTTCTCCATGCTGGGATAGCGCTACTATGGCCAGTAGCGCGTCCAGCCGTGGAAACCTTGGCGCCTATGATACGGCAGACTGCCAGCGCGGCGCCAAAAAGAATTGAGTCCGTCTCGCAAAGGTCCCGGCTGGCTTCCAAATAGGTAACCAGCATTGGGTTCAGAGCCCTCACGACAGCCCGATTCCGCTTGCTTAGGGCTATGCGGGGAAGTCGCGGTCGATTTTCGAGAGGCGTACTGCGCGTTTCCACAATCGCCTCTTCCAATATACTCCTCATATGCTCTAATTCCAGTTCCTGGGCGACTGTTCCATCATCGTTTGAATCAACCACAACTGGGGTATTCACGGCGGCATCCACGTTTGCGGGTTGCTCTACCATTTGTGGCGCCGCATCCTCAGCCGTAGCATTCTCATCCGACGAGGGAACAGCCTCACGTCGTAGCCGTTCGAGTTCGGCGACATCAAATATATTTGAGCGCAAGATATACCGAACTCGGTCTGCCAGGTTTTGCTCTGTGACGATTAAAGATGGCTCCAGCTCAGCAAAAAGACGATGCATCCTAGCCCGATACGCCAAACATCCAGTTTCTTCCCCTTTTGCCCTAAAGTACGCCCGCAGTGCGTTTGCATTCATTTCTTGTGACCAACGCATGCGACGTGCTCCACCAGCGGCGGGTGCCGCTTGCTGAGTCCGAGAAGACCCAGCCGACACCAAGCCTTCTGGTGGGGATGATGGATGCGGAGGGCTGGTAGATGACCGTGCAGCTCCTCGCGCTCGGCTGGCGGCCCGCATGCTGCCGCGTCCAGCGCCAGCTCCAGACGCGCCCCGGCGACCCCCAGGCAGCGGCCCTTTGCGCACTATCTTTTTTATCCATCATCCATTATTTGGGCGTCCATTAACGGGAGACGCCCAGGCCCGGCACCGTTTCGTGTGTAGCCATAAGCACAAACGGGCCTCTGCACCCTAAATTCTGCCGCGGCACGGCGCTCACACCTCTCGCAAGGCGCTGACTGACTGCGTTGACGTAGCAGTTTTGTCACTTAACTGTTACGTCAGCGGGCGATGGGGTCGTCAATTCCCTACGCCTTAACCCTCTGAGACTGACGTGGCTCAATTTTTACAATTGTACTGACGTGGTAGTATACGAGACACCATTTTAAAAGCAAATATTTTTATAGAATTAAATTATACAGGGATTTTATTTATATCTATAAGATTATTAGCCTAATATTTATATTAAGTGAACTTAAAATAAATAAATCAATTTGTAGTTTCAAAAATAAACTGTGTTTATTGACTTTACACAAATTAGTCTATGAATCTCTACTTAAATATTAATGACTTAGAAAAAATTACAAAATCAACTTTTTTAAATTTCACATTAGACATTTTAAAAATTAACAAGTACACTAATCAGTCTAAATAAAATCAGATACATTCATTGGTTGACTTCAAAATTATACATTTTCAAAATCACAGCTATATTTGACAATTATCAAACAGTGGCTTGGAGCACTGAAAGCAAATTGGCTTTGAACAATCACAGCAACAATATTTAGTTTTTTTTTTGTTGGACAAATAGAATAAAGTTTTCTTCCACTTGGTGGAGCAGACCAAACTACTGGTGGTGGTGGTGGGATATCCTTACCAAAAACCCTAGTGATTGTCATGCGCAGCTCCCTTGGCAATCTTTCATTGTATACCATGGTTTTCATATGATTCAGCACTATATCTCTTGCCAAATTGAATAAAAAAGTTGCTCTCCTCATTTTCGCACAAGAGATTTTAACATTGTGGGGTCAATCAGCTAAGACCAAAGTTCCAAGTAACCTTTAAAATTAGTTGTTGTAGTACGGCCTGGTAATCGAAATATATTATGAGTTGCAATACGTAATATCCTAGGATACTCTTGTTTACTTCAAATGAAACCGTTTTTACCTGTGAAGTGGTCTTCTAACACGTCTGAAAATCGTTGGCGTTCAACTACAATGGCAGGATCTTGTCGCGCTTCAATGTCTGACTCTGGATCTTCATCACATAAAATAAAGTCTTTTTGAAGGTCATCTAGATCGTTTACATCACTAAACTCGTGGTCACTTTCCTCTTCCAGCCACTCTATTATTTGATTTTCATGACCAACAAAAGTTTCAAACGACGTTCTCTTACGAGTAGAAGAAGCATCTGGCCTAGGGTTTTTACTTGAGTCAGCCATCTAAAAAATAAGTTTGTCCTATAAATTACGTATGATTAGTGATTTCTTAAATTTACGCGAACACTACACATTGAATAAAACTAAATTTAATAATACGTATGATTAGCTTCCGCAACTTCAGCAGCGTGGACGATAGATACTATTTCGCGATAAAACCTATGTTACTCAATGATAATATGGCATCATAGTAGTGAAATAATGTTTTAAATAGTCCCAGTACTTTTTGAGTTTATTCATTTCGAATAAAAATACAAATTTATCTCATTTATTATAATATTAGCGCAGAAAGAAATTATGTAAATAAAATAAAATTGTGAAATAACTCAAAATAACACAAAAAATAAGTTATCGTAAGATAAACTAAACTTAGTAACTGATGTGGTAGTTTAGGAGACAATATGGAAAAATAAACATTTTACTGAGGTGGTAATATGGTAGACACTTACCTTAACACTGATGTGGTAGTCTCGTGGACACCTTCCTCTCAATATGCACACATGAGCTTGCTACCGCACCCTGCCGCACACCGATCAACGCACGAGCTTACTATGGCAAGGTACTAAGAGTGGCGACGCTCAAATTTGAAAATTAATGGTAATAAACCAAATTTTATATTTTGCCGGTGTCTGTTGGACTACCACGTCAGTCACAGAGGGTTAATTATTATTATTATTATTATTATTATTATTAACTGATTTTACTTATTTTTAATTCCCGACGTTTCGGGTGCTTTACAGCAACCATGGTCACGGGGGGGGGGGGGGACTGAGATGTTTGACGTCCCAATGTCATTGTTAGCCCAGCTACCTTCAGTTTTTGAATATTAATTTTTGGTCCAATTTACGCAAAACGAACTTACAGTATCTTGAAGTCTTGCAGTGGTATGCCTGGGTTTGGGTTTAATTTTGTTAATTATAGGATCCCAAGCAGATGGCAGCACCCAACCATCTTTTCTATTGAAATTAGGATGTTTTTTAATTTCAATAGCCTCGCGTATCATCCTTGGTAGGAATCGGTGATCTTTTGCGAGGATATGTGGTTTATCAAATCTGATGTAATGGTGGGGACTATCTTGAACATATTCACACACTGCAGACTTCCCGACACTCCTGCATCTTGTAGAGGGATATTACACTTGACGGATGGTAAAAATTGACTCATCTTATTCGGCGGCTTGTAGTATGTTTTAATGGAAGTTCGCTTCAAGATGTAGCCAACCTTGTCTGTGACTTCTCCTACATATGCTAGTACAGCAGGCACACGCTCGACTGTGGCCGGCTTCACTCATTCACTGTGACGTAGGCGCGGGATCCGAAGCTTGTTGTCTTGCAACACTTGCTTGACATGCTGAAGCTCGGCGGTCAGTATATATATATATATATAAATATATATAATTATAAAATACGAGTATTTTATATATGTATAATATTTTATATGTATTTGTGTATATATATATAAAGAATGTATGTATGTGTATTCTTTTTTTTGAAGAAATTCGGCTGTGTGAACCAAATTGTGTTAGACTTCATATTTCATTCTGTAAACATCAGAAAAGAACCGTTTTACCTTACAGTATGAGCCTAAATCATAATAGGAAGAACAATATTATGTAAATTTCTTACTTTATATACCATGATTTTAATCAATACAAATATTGTATATGACATACAGACAAGGCCTTAATAATTATTTTTATGCTTTGCATACTTAAATACTTCCCTTACAGTACTGCCACAGCAAGGTAAGTTTAGATCAAAGGAGATATATATGTAAGGAGGATAACAAATGTTGACGCAGGTAGAAATATTAATAAGTATTTTTTTTTCTTTTTAACTAGAATTTAGAAACGGACCTATAAAGACTAGAAGGTTATTCCTTCTCCTGTATTCCGCATTTTAAGATTGTGGAGAATAGTGTATAAAACTTAAGGTTGACCCATGAATTTTATACACTTTTCTAACAGCAAATGCATCAATTTTAGTTTATCAATAAACTTTGGTTAAAAACTTAGAGACAATTTTCCTATAGGTTTAGGAAATTAATTAAAATTTTATTTCGTCATTAATTTTCCTAGATTCTTTGCACCCTGAGATGTTAGTTATAAGCTTATAAGGCAAGAAAGAAATACATATATTTTACAAGTTCAATTTTACAAGCTATATCACTTGATGTGATTATTACATGCTACCCATATGGTTTATGTATGATATAGCTGTAATGTTATTACTAATTTTGGCTCTGACGATTATAACAAAACATTATGATCAAAAGTAAAAAATTAAAGTAGTGTTGCCTTTCTTAAGACCCATGTAGTTTTTTGACCGAAAAACAATATCACTCTCAAATTTCACTATGAACTAAAAGGATTTTCATTTTATAAGCACCCCATGTAATTGCATTACTTGAAATCTGAATATGATTTTTCAGTCTCAATTTAGATTTAAATTTATTCTTTTTATTCCGGAGAAAGTACATAGTAAAATCAAAATGTTTTTATTCATTTACCCACAAAGACAGCTGGACAAACTTATATGAATTTGTCAATTAAATTAGCAAATGTACTATATCATTGAATTAGATTGTAATCAAATAATTGACGTTTAATTCATAAGAAATATTTGTGTTTCACTTCAGGTATGAAAATGCTACAATTTTATAAGTGAAAACCAATAATTTAAATTTATTTTAAAGTGTTGCTTATCATTTCGAATTAACTTTAAAATCCAATTAACAGCAATTCTAGAACTTTCCACCTTTTATTTTCTGAATCTTATCATCTATGAATATATCATATCACGGTATTTAGCAATAATTAAACACCAAATTAAGACTTATCTCGTCTTAATTAATTTTACAGCTGTATTAAATACGATACTTTCTGAAATACCGAACTCTATATATGTGAGAGAACATGCTTGACTCACCGTCTAATGAACTTGTTTCGACCCACTGAGCGACAGTCTTTTTTGCATATAATATATTAGACCATTTGGAATAAAATAAGGTCGAGTGAAAATAGAATCCAATACTTCATGTACCTCTCGGGGTACCACATGGCAGATAGATCCTCAATAAAACAAAGTAACATTGATGATGTTTGAATTTTTAACGAGATATTCCGTTTATCCACCCTGAATTGTACACTATTTTATAACACTAATAATAAAGAACATATTTAACTTAATTTACCTTAGGGTGGATAAACGGAATGAACTTTTCTAACAAATAAGTTGTAGTATTTTCATAGGGATACAAGGTGACAACGTTGAAAAATTTCCCATAAAATGACTAAATGTTCAAAATGTCTGCTTGACATTACCCACCTTCTTAATAAAAAAATTAAAAG